AAACGAGAAATAGAACACGAGAAAGAAATACGAAAACTAAATAAAACGGCTTAGTAATTAAACTGTACCGTTAATCAGTTCAGTCCTAAACTAATCGTTAATTGTTAAATTATTTTGGCCAAGAGAATTGAGCCTGTTCTTATCAGATTTAAGATACCAAGTTTAGTACGGAGTTTCTTCATGAATAGTGAATGAATTTTTCTAAAATGTACCCTGTGTTTAATAGCGACTGAAGAGAGTGATCATATTCTCAAGTCAATGTTTCATAACTAAACTCCTGTAAATAGCTGCCCTATGGTATGCTTCAGCTCGTTTTAACAGGCACAAAAAAACGAGGGTTGTTTCTTCGTTTGGGCTACAGCTCTTGATCTTAACTCGAAGAGTTTCAAACATGGAAATTACTATAAAATAATAATATAATATTTAAAAAGTTGTAAAAATTATATTGTGAGGCACAGTTCGTTAAAACGCGTCTCTTCCACATTTAAATTTGGCGCAACACCTAATCTCTTACTCAGATCTCTTATTGGCGAAGCCAAGATCTGGGTATGAGATTACGTAACACCATTTCGAACGCTAATAATCACGCATTACCGTGTGGATACATATATAAGCTGTTTTTTTTTTTGCTTTCACACCCACGTATCTTTATTATACAAGTCTTTGAAAAGTAGTACTAATGAAGATAATCTTGACGAACGAACAGACGAATTAGGTAGATATTTAAAGGGACTTAAATCTTCATTCCTCGATCCATTTTAACTTGGGTTGAGGTAATTGCTAAAACTAACTTTTGGACCGAGTTATTCGGGTTTGTTACCATGATAACTGATACTTTCCTATTACAGGTGAGTTCGATTGATCATATTTCGGGATACGAATACCCAAGAACTTGGGACAAATATCTTCAACCGAAAATTTTGGACCAATGAAATGCTACATTCATCTAATTGTGAGAGTTCCCAACAGGGTTCTTCAATCCCGTTATCCCAACCCAGAATTTCGCTCAATCCCGTCATCCCGACGGTTATTTCCGACATCCCGTGCATACTTTCAATACCAAATCTTGCTCCCATATTGCTTTTTATTCCTGAATACCGGCCTTCAATTAAGGCAAATTCCGCATCCCGAAAAATCTACTGAGGACCCTCAAAACGAAGCAGGAAATCCCGACTGTTATCTTAGGCATCCCGCATCCCGAATCCCGTGTATACTTTCAATATCAAGTCTCGCCCCCATATTGCTTTAAAATCCCGAATCCTGGCCTTCAAATAAGGCGAATCCCGGATCCCGAAAACCCTTTCGACGACCCTCAATTATTTCCACTAGATTTCAGGATTTTACTATGCAATGAAAGCCAAATCAAGTGATTTTTATTTTCTTGTATTCTTATCCCGGAATACGATCAATCGAACTTCCCTTACAGCAAACACGAAAAACGGTTTACGAATAACTCGGCCTCGATCTACTATAACAGGAAAATATCTTTGCCATTTCTAGCAGACCACGAGTTTAGTGTACACTAAAAGTTCTTCTATTAGATTATTCAAGTAACCTTTCACATAGGAGTGAACATTGAGCGTTAGTTCGGGTGGAGTCTAAATATTCTGAGAGATTTTTTTTTCAGCGTAGGATAGTTCGTTCGATCTGTATTTCTCTTCAGTTTTCAATGCTTTGTATGTCGATTAGGTTGTAATTTATTTTAATTGTGAATTTATTGTCCTACGGTATTATTTATTTAGACTCATTTGTAATTTACTTTTTAAGACATGTTTTTCTAAGAGTGGATGTAAATATTAACGCGCAAAGTACAAGTCACAGACACAAACAAGGAAATAAAAATCGTGTGCTACAATGACTCCGCCATCCTTATGCTGGCTCCCATGACAGGGCACGGTTTGCCTATAAAAAGCACCCCAATGTCCATTTTCATAGCCCTCAAGCTCAGCTAGCCTGGGAGCAAGCTCTCCGGGGCGTTCTGGCGAAAACTATTATAAGCGCATTGCCTTAAGGGAAGTCTTCCCAACGTCCTCCGCGAGCAGTTTAAGTTACCCAAGCTTCATAAAGAAATGAGTAGGGACTGGAAACGCGTCTTGCTATTCCCAGACACTCGAAACAACTTCCAACGTGTTTCAAAACAGCGGTGAATAGGCCACTCTCACGATGGCTTCAAGTCATTTTGCAACTATGGCCTGATTCAAGATTTTACTTTCTGATCCAAATGAGCCTGAAAGTAGCCTGAATTTCATCCGATTACTTCGAGTCTTTAGAGGAGTTAATGACTTGAAGCAATCGGATGAAATTCAAGCTGGCTTGAAAGTCGACTGGTTCAGTTAGCAATACTTACTCCACCCTCGTCCGGACAAATGCGAAAAATACCAACAGGAGACCTGCTCGTCAGTATGTAAGAGACGACTGAAACCGAGAAATATGACACATTCGCAATTCGGAGTAAACTATTTAGCGTGCGCAAAAATATTGGTACTGGACGCTGCATTACGTTGTTTTTCCTAAATGTAGTGATTTAACAACTTAAGATGACTCAAGATCGCAAAATTTCAAGTATTCGTAGTGCAGGACAAAACACTACTTTGCTCTGGGAAAACTGCTAAATATTTGAATGCGCGGTTTATTTGCTCTTTGCGTTGGCGCGTGGAATTTAATTAACATATTTAAATCCAATCTCGAACACGTGTTTTTGCTGGACACCTTCAAAAGCCTCAAGTTCTATGTTGAAGAATTCAGAGCAGATATAACAGTTCACGAGCTGTCACTGCAGAGAGGTAACCGAAACTTTGTGTAGACTGTCGACAGAAGCGAATTTCCAAAGGAACGCCTCTTTGGAAGGAAGGAAGGGCAGTAAATTTTAACCACTGAATTTGGCCCACAGTCACGCTAGCAATGCTTGGCAAACTTTAAGTCACAAAATTCCGCCTGTCATGGGACTCTAGAGATCACGACAATTATTTTTTTTGACATAATTCAAAATGCGTTTTTTTTTTTGCTCGAGCCGCAAACTTACATCTTTCTCACGTCTACCAGGCTTAAAATGCACCACCATATACATTTCGATCAATTTTGTCCAATGTTGTGCAAATGAGCAGTAAAATTGGACGAAATTATCGGATATGGCTACCACGGGAGACGTGCAAACGTGGACCATGTATGGAAGTTCAAACGGGGTTTTTGTCAAGGTGGCCATAATTATAGCTGTCTGTTAGAGAGTGTCTGTAATGAGTTTTTATTAGATCTTTCAAAACGGTGCAAGCGTAAGAACACGTGACTAGGCAAGGAATCTGCACCATTTTCTTGCGCTTGTGTTCACGCATGCGTGAACAGTGGTAGGAGATGACGGGCTTTTTAGTATAGGTAATAGCATGATTTGTAGTGATATTTGGTATAAATACCACGAGTGATATTTCGAAATTGTTATACGTAATTTCCCGAGCCATTAGGCGAGTGAAATTTGAGACAATTGCCACCTGATTACTCTCAGTTGGGAGAGCGCCGGTCTGCTGAGCGGGAGGTCGCGGGTTCAGACCCCTGCCGTACCAACACTCAGGGTCTTTAAAATAACTGAGGAGAAAGTGCTGCCTTTGCAATGACATCTGCAAATGGTTAGACTTTCTAGTCTTCTCAGATAAGGACGAAAAACCGTAGGTCCCGTCTCATAGCACTTTTACTGATCTGTTCTTGAGGAACGTAAGAGAACCCACACCACCGTTCGAAAAGAGTAGGGCACGTAGATATCGGTGGTACGGCCAACCTTTCCTGGGCTGGGTGGGTTATCTGTAAGGACACTTAAATTGGAGCCTCGCCCTGTTGTGTGTTCCACACCATATGGTGGAAGTGATTAAATCAAAATGAAGCCATTTCAGGCACGTTAGGCCGGCGAAAACACTGACGTTTGAAATACTCAGAAAATTAAAGAAAATACTGATTAAAGTAATACTGATTTATTTATTTATTAGACAACTTCAAATCAAGATATAAGAGAATTCAAAAATATATATCTATGACGGTTGACACAATGTCACCATTCGTGCCGGCACAATTCAGTCGAAAATATCAAGCATATGATGGCTTCATGTAGATTTGACTCGCTTAATAAACTTACTGAATAAAACATTTGTTGCTTACTCCAAATTCACACTTGCGCTTTAGGTTTCTTAACTCTACATTGTTAGGATCCAGTCTCAAACCGTAAGTGCAAATCGTAAGTCCGTCGGAAAACTTTTTGCAGTTTAGATCAGCCGTAGCGGCCTTAAGGAACGCTTTAATGACGGCATCTTTGCCCGGATAGGATGACATCAAAGTTATGGCTGTAACTTCCTGGGTATCCATAGCAACAACAAAATCAAGAGATGCGCCTTTAAAATTGTCATTGAGTAGGTGGAGATTCGCACGTGCCACGAGATCGCCTACTATGGGTGTCCCGGATGTGATGACGTTCGTCATGTCTGCAATAGCGTGCTGATACTCCCGGAGACGTTCAAAGCACTTAGAACGCATGCGCAAGATTTCTTGCTGCTGAGTAGTACTACATTGACCATCAGAGGCGGCTACTGCGAGAGTGAAATAGCCCAAGGCTTGTTTGTTTTTGTTCACTCGGGTGTGTTCATTTGCTTTATCGATCGCGATTCTTACGAGACTTTCCTTCTGTGCCGAGTTCAAGGTAGCAAGTGCAAACGTTACTGCTTCTGAATCTATCTCGGCTGCTCGCTGAAACTTTCCCGCCGAAATCTCAATTTCATTCAGTTTGACATGGACGAGTCCTCTTCGGCTTAGCACCGAGGCATCTCCGGGACTGAGTCGTTCAGCGACATCAAGCTCCTCGGCAGCTTTTTGATAATCTTCGAAGATGATCAAACCGTCAGCGTACATGCTGTGATATGAGACTACGTCAGCACCCACTTGAACCAACAACTGGCAGAGCTTTAAAATGCACTTCGACCGAAAACCCCGTGATAGATAATGAGAAAACAACATCTGAGCACAATCTTCAAGCCTTGCTAAAAGTAGTTGTTTGCGATTCTCCGCAAGTGATAGAATGAAAGTTTTGAGCGCCTGAGTATTGAGAAGCAATGCTTGTAACAGGTCTTGGTAACTTTGTTTCAAATTGTTCTTCTGAGCGAAAAGGAGTCCACGCTGACACAATACCTCAACATAGTTCGGCTTTATAGCGAGTATATAATCTAAGTCTTTTATGGCCATGTCTAGCTCTCCCTTCAAAATGTTCAATTTTGCGCGCCATACGTAAGATTCGCAGGCTTTGTTTTGGGAGGCGGCGATGGCCACGGTGAAATATCCTTGGGCAGAGAGATTTTCGGAGCACGCGTTAAACCTCTGAATTCCCTCGCAATGCGCTTCACGTGTTAAGCGCGCGCGATCTTCCTCGGTCAACCTCAACATGGAGCTCGTTAGCTTCTCCTCGCCGATCGCCATCAGAAGACTAAAAATATCTTCCAACGCGTCGGATGTTTTGTTTCTTCTCATTTTCAAAGCGGCAAGATGCAAGGTAGCGAGGTAATCATCGGGGTTATGTTTTATTAAACGAACAAGAATAGCTTGAGCCTCATCCATTTTACACAGTGCCAGTAAAATTTCCACGAAAACAAGATGGCACTCGAAATCCGTAGAAAACGCGCGGGTTAAGACATCACCCAAAGGAATAAGAGAGCTATCCACGCGCGAATTTTCTCCCTGTTGGCGTTTCTTTAAAGTCGTCACCAAGTACTCTTTCAGCTGAGTTTTGAGCGTTTGCTGTCCGTATTCTGATAATTCCGTGATCCAAGTCACCGTAGCAGCTATTGATATCCCACTAGCATCTTTCAGGTCCTTGGCAGATTTTTCCAATTGTCCGCCCATGAGCCAAACAAATGCACGGCCACAAAGCGCTTGCACAAAGCTTGGCTGGAGATCTAAGGTAGTATTGAAATCTGCGAGCGCACTTGCCATTTCAGCGGCTTTCATATGGCAATATGCACGCGTATAGTACGCTTTCGAGCAGGTTGGTCGCAGTGAAAGTACCAGGTTGAGTGTGTTGACGGCTTCCGCGTCTTTGTCTTGAAGTTTCAGGCACTCCGCAGCGTTAATCAACGCATCAACGTTATTTCTGTCCATGACATACAGAAGCCGGTACATAAGTGCTGCTCTGAGGAGACTTTCAGCAGTGTTTCTCGTGTCAAATGAGCATGCGCTGTTCAGTTTCGCCTTAAGACGGAAATGAGACAGCAGCTCTGATGCAGTTTGTTTTGCAAACGAGGAAATGTTATCCTGCTGTGCACCTGGTAATGCTAGTATGGTGATTCGTGTCATGTCTTCATCAAGGCCCGCCGCACTAAGGTAATCGTTCACAGCAAGCTCGGTTTCTTGAAGAGCCAAATGACACTGCGCTCTTTGAAGTAACAGCTCCACGGATTCGATTTCCCTTCTTCCAGAACATGACAACCTATCTATTCCATCAGACAGCAAAGCTACAGCTTCCTTGTACTGATTAAGTTTAATCATGTGACCAGCGCAGTCTTCCAGTGTGCTGGTGTCTTCGGGATTTAAACCGACAACGATGCGGTCAATCTTGATCAACAAGAATCGCTCTTCCACACTGTGGCTTTCCGACTTTTTCGCAAACTTAGCGATGACCTCGTACAGCGCTTCTAAAATGACGGGAAGTAGTTTCGCTCCAGATTCCTTGATGCATGCTAAAGCAGCATCAAAGTCCTTGTCACACGCGGCTATTAAGTCCTGCACAGCAAAGCTCTTCTCTTTAAGAAACAGATATGCAACAGCGCGTTCAACTAAAAAGAACACGACATCGTTTTGATCGGCGAATACCTTCACTGCTTGAAGACAGGTATTAACCGCCTCAAGGTAGTTATTATTTCGCATTTGTGACCTCAGCTTCGTGGACCATGCCACACGACTATCAGGGCGGAGACCCGGTGACGTAATAAAGTCGCATATTTGTTCAACAGACAAAGTTATTTCAGAATTCGATAGCAGTTGCTCAGAGTCTCCGCCACAGCACACGCACCAGTCTTCCAGTGTGTAAATTACGCTCTGTAAGTGGTTCCGTGGCAAGGTGACCAGGTGATCTTTGACCAGGCCAGGCTCCAAGGCATATCCTTTGCAGAAGAGGGTTACAGCCTCCTCAGAACGCTGTTTTCTAAGCTCCTGATTGGCTGATGCGATGAAGGAAAGCGCCTGTCCAATGCTGTCACCCGCTGTAGCCATTTTCCTTGTTGGTAAGTTCTAACTATCCTTTGTTGGAGCTAAAGAGGCAATGAACAAAAGGCCTTAGTTTTAGCAAAAAAAGGTCATGTCCACGAGATGCCTAACTAATACTTCCTTATATTTCATGCGAGCGATGCAGTTTTCTTCAACAGGGTTTGATCACTGAATCTATCGGCCAAATGTATACGAAAATGCAGCAATTTAACTCTACCACCTCTAAGCATTTTCTATACTCGACTATAATGACATAAACCCCGCGCCAGTTATAATCCCTGTGCTTATATCAGGACTCACAAATAGCATTTCTTGTCTGCTGGAATGAGAAGATATAGTAAAAAATATAATAACACTAATATGGTGCTATCCAATTACGCTTTCCGTCTAATCCTGTCTGAAACCTCCCAGAAAAACGCGCTTCAACGGGTGTTTATGTGATAAAGATAACGAACTTTACGGAAACCGGCGGAAGGGAATAAATAATATATGGGATTGACAGAAAAAAGATGATTCACCAAAACACAAAATTCAGTTGTGTTTGGCAGAATTTTCGTGTTAGTTTAATTTCGGAGATGACCGTCGACTGAGGTTTGCGTTTAGCGGGAACAAGTTTTCGCGAAATTCTATTTCAGAGGTAGAATGAGTGTCGCGGATATAGTTGTAAGTTCTTTTGCGGAAAAACACGTTAAAGCCCCGGCCTTGTATTGTAAAAGTCGATATCAAATCTACCAGGTTTATCGTTAAGAGGTCTTAAGACCGCTCGTACGACATTTTTCCACTCACTGCGAACTCAAGTAACGAATGTAAAGGATCGAACAGAAAAATTAATGACGTGCGAGGTCGTTTATCACATCCAATGTGAACAATGCCCGGATAACTACATGATACTTCAGCCGTCTTCGAGCACTGCCGGGCGGCAGGTCACAACATCAACCGACACATAAAAGTACCATCCGTCGAAAATAACATCATCAAGCGCCGCGTCAAGGAGGCCATTGCTATCAAACAAAAAAACCTCTGAATAGTCTGAATAGGGATGAGAGGACGAGGGACATCGACCTACTAACAACTTTTGTGTTACGCAGCCTGGCACTTCACAAAACTGATAAACTTTAAGCGATTCGGATGAAAAATTGTTTTTGTTTTTCGTCTCAAATTTTGCTCAGAGTTTTGGAATCTTCTTTACTAAATGACTCTTTTGAGTTGCTATTTGTAAGTCTCTTTGTAGGTTGCAGTCAGTCAACGTGAAGTTCAAATTTTAAAAGGGGTAAAGTTTCGCTGTAGTTTCTTTTTCGAGGGATCTAATTTTCTCGAATTGTCGGAAAATCCGCCAAGTTTCTAAAAATTACGTGAAATTAGATCCCGCGAAAACAAAATGAAACCTTCTTTAGCTCAGGTTCAAAAATTATGAGCAAAAAAGGGTACGTTCATCAGTACAAATACCGTAAACTACATTTCAAACAAATGGAATTTTTCTCAGACCACCAAGTTAGGAGATATTTTCCTGGTGTAGGTTATACTCCTTTTTAAGTGTTGATTAACATGTGAAACCCTCAATGGACTGACCTGCAACCCTTTTAATGAGGCAGGGTATTAGAAGAGACTGCTGACAGCCCCTGGATATTATCTTATCAGGCTTATCGTATTGAACTTATCCAATGTCTAGACATGACCTGAATTGAGTTAAAGTATCAGCCACGCTTTTAGATTTATTGTCTTGTCAGAAATCTTGTTTCCGCCCAGTCGTAGTGCGATTAGTGGATTCCTGATAATTAATTTCTACCCATTTTTAGATTAAACAGTTTAAAATATAACCGCCACCGAAAGAAAAAAAATCCATGGACAGTATGAAACAATTCTTCCGAGAATTGCTTTTACCAAGGTCAGACACAACACCTTCCACTTGAAACGAATTGCCAATAAATCAGACAGAACGTTGCGGACAAAACGAAACTCGAAATAACGAATTCCTGGGTATAAAGAAAGAATTAACTTTAACCCAGTAATAGTAAATATGAAACAGAACTTCGATATGACGAAACCTCGTTATAGCGTACAAATTTTGCCAGTCCCTTGGCCCTTCGTTATGTCGAGGCCCGGGGGGGTGACTTTAGGAATTTCTGGGTGGGGATGTGCCGTTGGGACCCTTAACCTATACCAGAGCTAGTTCAGCTGAATTTTGCTACCCTATACTAGAGTAAAACTCCTCAAATCCCTCCTATCCTAGAGTAGCTGTTTTCCAGAAACTACTGAGGTCACTAGCACAGTAGCCTAGCCAAAACAAAACCTTATACCACAATCCCTAGTCTAGATAAAATCTTCAACCAACTGATCAGTTTCCTGAAAAATGATACCCTCAGTATTCTAGACCCAAAGGCTCTGATTTATATACCCTATATTAGAGTAAACTGCTGGAAAACCAGTACCCCCCCCCGGCGAGTGTCGAGGTTCCACCATTGGCTCTGTTTGGGGTGGCCTTCGAAACATGTGCTGAAATAATTACCCTCTTAATTTCTATAATAGCATCAACAAATGTTCGACAAGTGTTTGGCCTCTTGTTAACCTATTTCCTCCATAGTCCAATCTCCCTTAAGAAAGAGGAACATGACCTGGGGAGGGTCTGGGGAGATAAAATCTGACATCTGGGAGCAGAAGGTGCAAATGGCCCAACTTGTTTTCTTCGTTTGTTTATTTTTCAAAATTCTGTATGAGTATCGCAGATGCATCCCTTTTCTAGACGAGTGCTTCTGTCATGTAAAAAATGATCTATCGATTGTGAAAAAATTAGTTTCAAATAACAATCGAAGGACTTCAAACATTACACCAACAAAGTTTTGATGTAATATATTTAATGCAAGCAGGTCATACTTATGAAGTGATAATATTGCAGTAAGAAGCATTGTGATATACATGTATATACAGCAATGCAGAAGTACCTGAATCATATAGACTCCAATAATATTGTAAAAAGGAAGACTAGTGTATGCTATTTAGCAGGCATAAAAGAATTCCCCTGGCCACAAGACCAACCTCGTTCCCAGGGTTCTCTCCTAGCCGCACAACACCTATTTGCAACTCCACATTCCTCACTAAATAAAAAGTTCAGAAGAATTTCTATCCAAGCCATGCCACTGCCCAAGAATGCCAATAAAAAAAATACTAAATTTTTTATCACTCTAACTCGAATGCGGTAATCGCTTATTACTATGTGGACAGGGGATCAACAGTAACCACTGTTCATTTTACCTTCACTATTCCCTGTTCCCCACTTGCCGGACCGAGATGAACAACTATAGTAGCTTGCATGTCCAGTGTTAGCTCGTGTGGGATATCTGGTAAGGGCCATTGATTTTTTGTAATACCCAGCTTAATACTATTTCGCTCACTCAGCATTGTAGCACGCGACAGCCTTGTCGACTTCAAGGAACAAAAATATGAGCGCAATTGTAGCGGCGTTTTCACAAATTAACGAAATTCAGATGGCAGCCAACCCTGTGTATATTGGGCTTAATATATTTTGTTTTGCCTGTGTGTGTATATTATGAACCAAAATACAATTTAAGGACAGACAGTGTTCATAAACATAAACAATAACAAACGCATGGGGCCAATTCGCGTGCACTGAAGACAAAGCATTTTATCTTAATACTCGAAGCAGATAATTGAATATAAATCGTCCTGTTTAGGGATGCATTCAATGGATAATTGCGAACAATGTGAGCTATATGATAAACAGGCCATAAAATGTAAAAATGTAGCGCTTTGGACATAGAAGCTTCGAGATTCACAATTAGAGGAAAAAAAATACAAAGAAAGCGAACGAAAAGGTTTGTAATTGACTCACCGGTGGATGCAAATGATTTGTCCTCCAAAGGCGGGAAATCTACCGGCTGCTTGATAGCTTTTGGCCCCAATATACAAGGGTTACTGGAGGTGAGCAAAGAAAGGTGATAGAACTGTAGGACTTCGCTTAGAGAATAAACGAAAATGTGCCCACAACCACAAACGAAGTGATCATCAACTACTTCGACCACCGAGACTTTATTCATAAAACTGCCGGATAAAATTTCTAGTATGCGGCCTGTATAACTTATACGCCGTTGGGGATGACAGTTGAAAGGACAATCACCAATTGTTTGAACAGTTTTTCTATTGGTCAATCAAACTTGACAAGGCGTGGGAACACTGGTTTTTAATTGGCTATCCCAGCTGGGCACATTGATTGGTGAACTTCGCGGGAAATCCACTCATCTCGGCATTTCCGCGGAAGATTTACCCGTCATCGAACCTGAGCTGCACGCGACAGCACGATGCTGAGGCGGTCTGTACAACATTTTTGATAATTTCTCAAATTCTCAGTATTTAACATGGTAGCGTGATGTGCGACCGTACTTGCAATGTTTACAAATTTTCAGACACTTAACAACAGTACTGTCGGCCCTCTTCGTGATCCGAACAGGCACTTCAAGTGACAGTACAAACACTATTGCATTAACTGGCGTGTTCAATTACCTTATTTAGCGGAATATGGAGAAGTTATTTTCATGTTTTTAAAGAATAGTTTCGTGTGTTTGCCGTAAAAGCGGATAAGGGTTTATTTTTTCGCACAACAATGATTTATTCCAAAGCCAATGAGTATAATCCAAGAAAACCGGGTTTGATTTGTGTAAAGAAACAACGACAGACAAATAGACGATCGGAATGCCAAGGAAGTATTTAAACTATTCCATCAGATGCTTTATATGACACGCAATTAGATCATTTATAACACTTACTTGCACATATGAGATAGATCTGTGTACATTATGCCATCGCATCATTATCCGGTTATAACTGCTTGTGGGAAATCTGACTTAACTTCGGAGAGAGAACTCAACAACGTTGGATGACTGCATCTCCAATAGCTGAACAAAAGCATTGTAGAAGGCCGGAAATAGATCCGAAGCAGCTTTTGTTTTCCATGAAGGCTTTAGCCGGAAATTTTCCTTTCATAATATGTTTATCTTCTCTTAAAATATGACTGTTTTAGATTTAAGAAGCTCCTAGAATCAATAACTGACGGCCTGAATTCACAATCTTTATTTGTTACAATTTATCATCAACACAAACATTTTATATTTATCACAAAGGCGGGGCTCCTCACAACCCTTGCACGATCGACGAAAGAGGGACAGGCATTCCTCTCTGTTGATGTAATATTACCAAACACTTAATATAAACTTTTCTTTTTCTTATGGCGAAATATAAAAAGAAAAATGTTTATAATTCAAGAAAAAGGTTGATACGCCCACGGAAGATATTCAGGTTAAGCAAACAAAAACTGCAAAAAGAAAGTCGCTAAAAACTACTGTCAAGCCTTGTCAAGCCGCGGGTCCGTTTGGATCCTTAGTCAGCGGAAAACTGATTTTGTTCCCGTGTCTTCCGGTCAACGGGCAGGGATTTTTTCGGTCACGGGCGACGAGCCAAACACATAAAAATATATATCCTGTCTTCCTCGGGGTTTATCACTTAACTGTTCGTCACCTCGGTGAAATTATCTCAACAGGCAAATAAAGAAATCTAAAGAATGTAAACTAGCTTGCGAAAATGGCCGTCTCTCCTCGCTCTTTACTAAAAACTCAGGCCTCCTTTAATTTATCATCATCTGCTTGCTCCGTGGAAATTTATTAGCGCGCATAACAGGCGAAGGGCTTTTCCCTTTTATACATTACAGATACAAGGAAATAACATATTTTTGTTTTAAAAAGGCTTACCCACCCTAATTCCTGGGGGTCACTTTCATTTTCTTCACTTTTTTTTTATTTTAAGGCTGTACGGCTCCGTATTGTCTCCCGGCTCTGACGCCAGCACTTACTTTCAATATTGAAACTCCTAGTATTTGTGATAAATAATTATTCATTCAAAATAGGTCTCCGCGTCTTGACTTATTTCATTCAACTGATGTCCGTCTGTATACATACAGAGTTTGAGTTCTTAAATTTTGTAAGTTAAGTCATTCTGGAATACGTTCCACAGAGGAGGCCCAAACGAGAAACCTTGAAGGAATCCCTTCCCCACTTCCTTCCAAGAGCTGATAACATCCCCAAATCTCACTCTGTGATAGCGATCGGTAAGATGCAATCTCATCAATTTGTAGCCTGTTCCAGGCGTTCAGATAGTAGAGCGGGGCGAAAAATTGACGAGGAGAAAAAAGTCTCACTTCGTTTTTCCCTTCGTTTTCCCCACGTACGATTTACTCGCTCCCCACCATATCTGAACTTTGCGCTCTACTATCTGAATGCCTGGAACAGGCTAATCAGTTTAAGAAAAGTGGATTATGTAAACAGTCAAACGCTTTACTCTTATCGGTGAGACAGAAGACCAACCGGCTTTCTCCATTATCTAGAGCACACCGGTCGCGCTTTGTCAACATCGCAACTATGCCTATCGTGTCCCATCCTGATTAGACTACGAGCAGTCTCTCTTTTTTTCTGTAGTCCGTCGACTGCACTCCCCTTACTAAAATAAATCTGAAGAAAAAGAGAAACTGCTCGCAGTTTACATCCTGATGCCTTGGTAGCGACAGTAGTGAACTTACGCAAACGGACGACAGGGAAAATTAGCAGACGCCAAATCTTGCGTGACAAGCATGACAATAATTTTGTTTGGAAAATTTTTCCGCCAAACTTGACCGTCCTTTAAACAGGTCTTTCAGTTAAAAAAAGTTAAGATCACGACAAAATGAGGAGGTAATGGCCCTGTCACGTGTTTGTCATACACGAATGTTTCGCCTTCTTCCTTTTTTTTACCGTCCTGTTGCGTGAGCTCGCTTGTCACAGTTAGGATCAGTCTTAGCAACATCTAAGATTTAAATTTCATGAAAATGAGAAGCCTGGTGAGCATAATTAGTGTTATTTTGAGTAGTGCTTACATGTTAGACTACATCGTTCACTTTATCACCAGCATTGCCGGTGTAATCTGCTATGGATACAAACAGTCCTTGCTTGCCCTCCCAAGGAGGCTTCTTAGGACTTTGTCACGCGTTCTTCCCAAACGTTGGGGAGGATGGCGTGACGAGACAAAAAAAGAAATAAACGTCTGCGTGGGAGGCTAAAATAGTCCCCCCATCATCTCAGCTATTTCAGGTTGATTACTATTTATGGACTGATTGGCCTTAAACTTTATCTTCAGAGGCTCTTGAATCTTTTTTGATACAAAAGAGGCGTGAAGGTCGTCCAGACGTAGTTAATCGATAAAAATCGAAATCGGAAATCGATCGATATTAATCGATTTAATCTGCGAATTAATATCGATTCGATAGAAATCGAAGTCACAGAAAAAATAATTTATCGATTATAATCGATCAAAAAATTAATAAAAATCGATAGTAATCAATAACATATTATCCTAGACTGTTCACAGTCCCCTATTTTTCCGCAAGATCATCGAGATCGTGCGCTTTGTGTTACGGGCTGCCATCTTGCATGAGTGTCAAAACCTACTTACAGCTATAATCCCCGACGCCCGCCCTCTCGGTACATTTGATAATCAAGATACCCGTGACGGTAAGACGAGGTATATCTAAACGACCTCACGAAAAATAGGGGACTGTGAACAGGCTAATATTATCCCGGGGGGGTACTCCCTTACAAGGGCTTAATGGGGACGTGCGACCAGCCAGGATATGAATTTCGGGATTTTTGTCTTAAACAGGGTATCGATTTTATCATTTTTTACCTTAATCAGGGTATCGATTTTATCAATTTTTGTCTTAAACAGGGTATCTTTTCTTGGATAAACAGCCTGCGTGACTCTGTTGATCAAACTGTAACTAGTTTTGTGATTGCCAATGGATTAAATAAGAAAGAATTTCGATATTTATTATTGTCTTACACAGAGTGTGGTTTCGGGTTAAATGTCTTAAACAGGGTATCAAAAATCGGAATTCTGTCTTAAACAGGATAGGAAAATCAGCGATTTTTGTCTTAAACAGGGTCAGGGTATGAGGGGACGGGCCGTACAGGGACTAGGCAAGTGTTCGGGTACTTATCCTCAACTTCCTTCCTCCTCATGAATTACCCCATTGTCAGGGAAACAGGGCAAGGAAGGGAAATGTCAGCCATATTGTTCAGTATCACATTCGAGGTGAGTTGAGGATCCGACGATCATCAGAAGGCCGGGAGTGCTTACCATTTGTATGGATAACAAGGAAATTCCGGGAAGAATTCAAATGGAACGGTTCATCCCGGTGAAAAGTTTTCGGAAAAAAAAATACTTTGGAGGTATTACCTTTTTCCCGTTCTTCCCGAAATTATCGAAATTTTCTGTACCATTTGTTTCGATTACCAGTACCAGGCTTTATGTGGAGAGAAAGTGAAAAATTTAATTTTATTTTGTAAATTGTGCTACTCAATCCCGTTCTTGTTTTCGGTGCCAATAAAAATACTAGTACCATTTGACGGAAACTTTTCACCGAAATTTCCGTACAAATGGTAAGCGCTCAGGGATTCGGGATTATAAGGCAAACTGGGGACGAGAGTAAGCACGGGATGCGGGACGCCAAAGATAACCGTCGAGATTTCCTGCTTTGTCACCGAAGATTCGCCTTATCAGAAAGCCGGGAGCAAACTGAAGGCAAGATTTGGGATTGAAAGTATGCATGGGATGCAGGACGCCAAAGATAACCGTCGGGATAACGGGAATTAGCGAAAATTTGGGTCGGCAGGACGGGATGGAAGAACACTATTGGGGACCCTCAGAACTGCTACAAGTGTTTGATATAACCATTACTGGTTTGCATCTGACGTCACAGCGGCCATGTTGGTGGTCAAGAACAAAAGCATTTCGCTCCCCTGGGAACTGAACTCTATTTTCACGTATATTCTTCGAGAAAAAATTCTATTGTTTTGACCCCCCCCCAACCCCCAATATGGGCCACCTTGTCACGAGGTTGCAAACCAAGAATAGTCAGTAAAGGGGAGGGTCCCTTCGACTAGCTGTGTTACAACTTTTCATGGAAAACTGATTCTGAAGGATGAAGTAGGAATGCAAAACTATGGAGTTTTCCTTGACGTTTACCTTATGTAAGTCTTATCCCTCTGAGAAAGTGACAAGTAATATGTCATAATATCAGGGGACAGAGCAAAAAACACAATTTCAAGATGGGACTTTTTACATTAATTTTAATAATAAGCTTTGCAGTATTTTATTATCATGATCAGTGACAAGTTACTACTTAACAGACGTACCCAGAAATTGTGAGCTACATATACATCTGTCAGAATTACTTCCGGAAAGAATTAAAGACGAAAATACAAAGAGAAACAAAGCTAGCCAAAGAAAGATGAAACAAGAGTCTTTATGGTTTCAGGTCTGTTCTTGTAGGTCGATCTTGCAGCTGACAGCTTTTCAGACAGGGGACTAGAACTCAAGCAATGTCATCACAATTTTCAGGTGTGTTTAAGACGTCATTCTACATTCAGTTTCCACATTCCATAGATCACTCCTAATATTATCAATTTTCTACAAGACAGCTAGACAAAAATAATTACATTGCATCTTGTACAAAAACTCATTATTGCCAGTCTTTAGTAATGTCAAATGCCCACTCCCACTCCAGGTGGCAATTTTTATCATCATCTACAAACTTGCTCTTCGCAATATAGTGCCCCCTAGCAAGCATTCCCTTTGGAGCATCTTCAGGGGGTGTAAGATATTCATGGGGCTCCGCTTTTGGGCCATAGCTTCCAACCATCAAAGAAGACTTGTCAACTGAAACACAATGAGACAAACGACTGTAATCTATCTCAAAGCTTGCCTGAGAAAACAAGTTGTGATGCCAGCACTGGTTCCCTCGCGAAATGATGTCTGAGAACTTTAAACAAGTGCAGAAATTCCATACTGATGATGTGTCACCACCTAGATCTGAGTAGTGACCCGTCATAAGTATGGGATTATAGAGTATGCAAAATTTGTAATCTAACCTCCTTCAAAGTAAAAATGTTTTACTTTTTAAGTGCCTCCCATCATTTTGGCAAAGTGTCCGATGGGATAAATTATATCATTATCCCTTCAAAATATCTATCATTTCTGATTGGCTAAACTCTCAAGCCAAATCTTCATAGCCACCTAGTTCTAAATAAACTTGGAAGATTTGGAAAATTTTTTTTTTCCAGTCAGTCATTAAGTGAAAGAAAAATTATTGGTCCACTGAGGGCAATTTCTGACTGGCTTTTACCCAAACTAATTCTTCATAGACAGCTTGCCCTAAACAATTTGGAAGCATTAATTATACTGTCACTCAGATGTCAATCATTGTATATCAAGGTTTCATAAATTTCAAGAATTTTTCGAGACTTTTTTCCAAACAAATAATTTCTTTCTCCAGACTCAAGGTTATCAAATAGGTGATCAATAAAAAACGCAGGAACAAAGCTTCCTTCAAGATGAGGTGCAAACGTACGGTTGACCAAAATGAAAAAAACTTCACTTATAAAGCACTTTTTGTAGCTTTGAAGAAAAAAAAACTCAAGACTTTTTACCATTTTCCCACACTGCTGATTGGCCCATAACCAACTTTCTTGGAATGTATTGTTATTTTCCTGTAAACTGATTGGTTAACTTTGTCTAACTGGCCCCAGTTACAGTAGTCGCACTTAAATGTTTCATTGTTCAGTCGTCAAAATGGCTACAGCTTTTGAAACGTGTAATTATCTCACTAAAATCGATTTACTAAACTTGTGGTAATTCAACCCAAATCATCGCGGAGACAATTAAATCATGATTTTTAAACATTTATCTAGGTGCTTGAAATAATGACTGCAGATAAAAGAAAAATGTTCTATTTTTTGGTTAATTATTAACAAACCCCAGCCCAGCCTCCATGTAAGGGACACTTGGCTTGGTCCTGAGGGTGTCCCCTGAATAGAAGTTCAACCTTAGTAAATTGGTCCTGAGTAATTTACACTCAACATCAATACATGGGAGTAATGCAAAACATGGCCAATAAGCTTGACTAGATGACCAGTTCCTGGCCAGACTCCTTTAAAGCTAATAGAACTACTTTACAGAGAAAAACGCCCATACTTTCTTGAAATTTGCAAAGCTAACAACAAATTAACTTACCTCTTATTCCTTTCCTGGAGGTTACCTGATGATACTTGAGACCTGCAACAATCTCACGCTTAACCTAAAAAAGGAGTGCAATTAACTATTACACACTAACTTGCACAAAACACTATAACAGCCATGCTCTGTCATGCATGACCAGTTTCGTTTTAACACCTGTACCGTAACCCTGCACTTTAAAATCCCTTGCTCATGTAATGCTAATAGGCTCTATTTCTGTTTTATGTTGGCAAATGCTACCAAAACACCTCACTTTCAGGAGAAAGTGTGGAAAAAGACTTTTTATAAAGCATGGTTAACTCTACCACGTACCATGTTAGATCTCAGCTGTAATCAGTTACGACCTTATTACTTAATTTTGCGAGTCTCAAATTTCATGATTTTCATGATTTTGGAATAATTGCGAAATGTAATACTCACGAAATCTAATACTCGCGAATATTAGAATTGTGAAATTTAATACCAGACACATACATATCCACAAAATATCCAAATTCAAGCTGTTCCTCTAGTATTTATTCCAACCCTGTTGGAATAACTAATAAACGTCTCAGTTTCAAGGTAAGGAGTTTTTTGTTTGATTTTGCCTATCAGCCTACCACCACATCACTATCGCTTTGCGAACTGCCTCTGCGGCAGGTACCTATTAAGACTGTTGAAAACCTTATGCTTTGTTATGTTTAAGTTGTTTTGTTTGTAATTGTCTTTGTTTGCTTTTGTTTACGAATTTCCAAAATTTGCATTAATTTATGTTGTGTCAATTTCCAATACCTTAATTTCATTGAGCATTTATTTCCTATAATAAGGTAATCCAGTAAGAAGAATTTAAAAAATAACTCATGCACACAATTTGCACGTGAAGATGTTGGACTTTGTCTCTTTTACAATTTGTACGTAAAGAAACCAAACTGTTTACTAGAAAATTTGCTCAAACAATTTTAAGAAATCACCTTTGCTTTACAACATCTGCAATTAAATTACGCTTCATGCAACATTAAGGTTGACAGCCTAACATTTATTTACTTACAAGGAAATTATCAAACTACTGAAATATATTTCTACTCATATCATGTTATTCCTATCTCACTATTTTGTCAAATAGCTTCGTCCAATTTTTATTCCCTGACACTATTGTTTCTACTTAAGTTACACATCTTTACTAAATATAATACGTTTTATTAAGTCTCTTAAGCAGCAAGCATGTATCACAAAATTTTTGCAATATTTTTCCAGCAATCCACAAAAATAAGTTCCCGCAAATAAAGATTACAGCAAACATTATTTATCTGTTCAATTACAACTTGTCTCTATCGTTCAGGAACAATGAAATACTGGTTTTACATAGGGTATGCACACCGTAGTATTGCTTAGTATTGCACGTACTCAATAAAAACGAAAATATCATCAATTCTGGCTACTTTCTGAAAATCGCAAAAATTAATTCCCATCAAGAAAAACCAATCTGTAGTAATCTCTAAAACTAGTTCCCCCAAAACACAAAAAATGGCCATTCCGCAAAAATAAACTCCCACAAAAATTTTGTGCCACATGGTTGGTGCCATTTTTACTCCAAAATTATGTCACATGTCTGTGATGTCATCAATAAGGAAACTTTTCTTTTCTGCTACCTGGTGAAAAGCTTTAACTCTGATTACTCTTTAATTTGTCACTTTGTTAGCTCTCTTTCACAACGACTGATCAAGTGCCATGACGCTTATTTCATTTTCCATGTTATAGGTGTAGCGCTTATCCGGGAGCAGCGCTAATTCCAACTACAGGTAAAACACTGAGGGGAATGTAGAGAAAACTCAGAGCTGGGCAAGAAAAAAAACAAATGTGTACAACTCGAACCGTTAAATGAACTCCATTTCAAAAGTTTCCCCACATTCAAACTTGAGAACTCACAAGTTGGTCAGGGTCTTATTTGTCAAGCAATATAGTTTTGATATCTCTTTATATCAAGCACCATAACAAAGGTAGGGTGTTTATTTGTAAATTATACCCAAATTGGTGCCGCAGTGCTTATCAAGAGCGGCGCTTATTCGAGTAGCGGCACTTAATTGATCATTTATGGTAAATTACAGGGCAACTTCTTTGTAGCAGGCATTGCTGTAACTTGTGACAAGTAAGTACGTGAATTTCAAAACACTCTCCATTGTTTTTGGTTCAGTAGCAGACAATTCCTATGTTTATGGGGCTTTAAGGACATTTAGAGCAATAATAAAATACCAAGTCTATTTTACTTTCTATTGTAAAGAACAAAAAATTATGAACTAATTATTACTTTGTAATATGTATGGCTAATTAGCTATCAGGATGTCCATTGCTAAAAGGAAGTTCAAGTTAAAAACAAAGACAAAACCAAAACAACTCACTGGGAATAAATGAAAATAACAAAATGATTTGCATATGACTATTTTTCCTCTAAAATGTCGATTGTAAAAGGATCTAACACAAATTAAAGATTTAAAAATTAAGCTAAAGAATTTATTATCACTTACCCTAAACGTAATTTTAAGCCTGTACGAAACTCCTTCCTTGATTATGAAAGGACTGTCTTTAAGTTTGCTCAAATCGCCTGTTAAGACGAGAAAGAACCATTGAAATCATTTTAGTTTACAAACATTTTATTTGGAGTTTACACATGATACTGACATAGAACACCGAGTTCGAATTCAAAAATGTCACGCACACAGTAAAGTTTTAGTTTCCAAGAGGACGGATGGATAAAAGATCAATGTACTCGTAATTAAGACTTCTACTCGGCTAATTTCGCATGTCAAATGAGAGCGGATCTTCACGACTGTAAGAGGATGACGAAAGGGAAACTAAAAGCTACAAGCTATGAGCATGTGGGGTTAAATTCTCATACAAACCAGTAAGATCTAAGTCAATATCGGGTCGACCTTCAATGATCACTGACATTTTTTCAACAACGACATTAGGTCCTCCATCATCTCCAGCTGTGAACGAAAAAATACATTGCGAACGTCAGTAAAGAATATTTGGGTCCCACGAACTGATTATCGAACCGATTAACTCTCACCTCCGCCGGCAGCCGCAGCTCCGCCGAGCAATGTTTGCTTGTACTTTACCAAAGATTCATCGTCGGCATCCAAATTTTTTATTTCGTCCAAAGATTTTTGCGCTGGTGCTTTATATCCCGGTGTTTCTTCAGGTTCTTCGTCCTCTATTGGTGGTACTTGTTCCTCTGTGTCAGCCATTGCAGATGGATATTATAAGTCGAAAACCAAAATTTCCTTAGACCCACTGCTCTTCGCCTCACGGCCTTGCTTTATTCTGCAAGGAGAACCACCCCATGACGTCAGGACGACCGAGAAAGAAAACCAATCACAAGCCCTCATATATCCTGTATCTGCAGCCATCTTGGATGAACAATAACAACCAATAAAAAAGGGTTTTCTATTGAACAGCTTTCGAAGAATGAGGAAAAATATTCGAGCAACCCCATACTAGGCCTATGTAACGGCGTTTTTATGGACCGGTGTATTTTTAGACACAATTCAGGGCACTTTTGTCGGCAAAAATGGAATCTCCACCACGTTTACGAACGCATTCGAAGTGTGAGATATCAAAAAGGAAAATCTAGCGTCTGTAGGTTTTGCTGACTGGTTTGTGGGACTTAAAAGATATTCTAAATTCGCGCCAAAACCGTGCTAAAAGTAGACTGGTCCGTAAAAACGCCGTGACACGAGTGCATGGAAGTTGCTCGTTCCAGGTTACCCCAGTTTCAGTTTGGCCAGTAAAAATACAAATGGTAGGATATGGTTTTCTCAGATGGTCACCCCACCAACAATGTAAAAGTGGTCAATTTAAAATAAGAGATTATATGGACGAAATAACAGAAAAACGAAAGAAATCATGTTATACTGTTACAGATTAAAGTTTATCATGCACGTGCCTGCTTAGGCCTTCTGCACAAAGCATCTGCCTGTCAGCACCAATCAAAAAGTCGTTGGATAAAGGTATTATCAACAGACTTATCAAAAGCCTTTGATTTGCTACTCCCGCCGATATTGGTGAAGCAGAGAAGCTGAGTGCATATGGTTTCACCGACGCAGCCATCGGACAGTTAAGATTGTATTTCTCAGAAAGAACGAATAGTGTTAGAATTGGAACTGAGACTTGCAGCGAATGGAAAGAAATGTTCAGAACGTTTCAGAGGAAGGGTAAAACAAGTATTGGGCCCCTCTTATGGAATGTTTTCGACCCGGGTTTTCCAGAACTACCTGCTATGAAATACTGACAAAAGCGCTAGCAGCCTGATCAAAATGTACAGAAATGACAACCAAATGTATGTTGCAGGTGAAAAGATGGAAGAGGTGGAAAGTACTCCATAAACGGACGAGGGAAAGGCAATCTCAAATTTGTACTAACTTAATTTCTAGCCTAATGGTTGCGTGGGCTTTTGTAAAGATATTTGATAGTCTGGCTTGTGCCAGGAATAATAGGATATTTATTCTGGAAGGAATTCGTCAAATTGCAGTTGTATAACCCACTAAGTGGTACTGATGCTATTTCCACTGTTATTTAGGCGGTAGTTGGGCTATTGTTGCGTTCTGATTGGTTGAGCTTCTACTAGGCTATATGTTTTAGCCCACTAGTACCTAGCCTTTGCCAGGCTTCAGATAGTATAGTGGGGACGTTTTGAAACGAGAAGAGCGAAAATAAGACGCGCGCGTCTTGGGAAAAGGGGGTCCTGTCTCTACCCAGCCCCCGGGCGTTTTTTCATTTCTTTTTACACCTTTTTACTGCACGAATTTTCACCACTATCTTGGAGCCTGGAACAGGCTAACTAGTAGCGAAAAGCGCCGGCTTTGAAAACCAAAACAATCGCGGCTGAATCGCGTTTTGCTAGCTAAGGTTGTTTTGTCTCGAGATGTTAAATATCCAGGGGTTTGAGCCAATTAGAAACGGAGAAATAGTTTAAATGAATGATAGTAGAAAATAAATTAAGTGCACCTATTCATTTGAGTAGATTTCTGTTGAGCGATTTTACTCACATAGCCAGGAGCTATGCAAATTTGTTGGAACAAAAGAAAGCGATTACAGAAAAGAGTTTAACGCCCACAGGCTTGACTTGGAACAACAACATGGCCGCCGTTTTATTGTTTTGTAACGCCAATATGGCCATTCCGTTATAGAGTGGTTTGGTAATGGACGCTTTGACTATAGCCATTCCTCTTCAACAACAAAGACAACAAAAAGCCCTTATCAATAAGAATTTTATTTGAAAGTTTTTTTTTTTTCAGGTTATCTTTTTAAATTACACCTTCACACCAAAAATATGCTATAAATAAAATGGACCAAGTTATCAAGCGTTGTGGTGGATGGTCAATTTCGAGTGTTGAACACTTCCAAAAACTTCGAGTTGAAAAAAAGTCTAGAAACAGTCAGGAACGACCAATAGAGTTTAAAAACACCATAAGTGGATTATCTATGGTTGACAAAATAGTGCCAGGAAATGTGGGCTAAGTGGAAAGACTAAACAAAAAATGAGAAGCGATTATGTTGCTCTTGTCTCTAATTACAGCCTGGTTTTGACCATGAATGCAAGCAAAAGCAGGGGAATCTATTACAGACCTCTCTCATAAGTGGCACATCATTAATATGGTACGTTTTAGTTAATCTAACCTATACTGGTATAACATTTTGGAATAAAAATTCTTATGAACTTAGCACATGCTAACAAGGGTACTTGACCAAAGGCTTCACACCATACCACTTATGAAAAATCCATGCTTAACCTTAAAAGCCTTTGTAATGATAACTTAATTAGCTGGCAATTTATGAAAAAGGTCTATTTGACTACAAAAATTATGAACTTGAACTTGAGTATAGAGCTCATGCTTGCATTGATAGTAAAACAAGGCTGAAGAGAATGTCCTCATATTGAGGGACAATCTGCCACACTCGTGCAATCACAAGAGTGTCATAATAAATTCTTCCCATGTGAGACATCTTCCATTCTACAGCTCATCCCTAGTGGTCTCAGCTTCACCCTCTTCTGTAGCCTCGTCTTCACCCTCAGCTCCCTCGGCGGGCTCGGCACCCTCCTCCTCTGCATCAACATCTGGAGGTGGCTCTTCTCCCTCGGTTGGCTCTGTATTGCCTTCTTTGCCTTCAGATTCAACAAACTTAACTAAATCTTCCAACGTTCTTCCACCTTTATAATCAACAATCTGCAATACAACAACAAAAAAGATTTGTATAAATTTTTACGCAGGAAAACGTACAGCGAATGGCTTTGCTATTTTTCCTTCATCAACTATTTGATAACCAGTCATTCTCAACTTTTACGATTTGACTAGACCTGTAATTTCTTTGGGCCTGGTTAATCTTTTACTTTGCTTCAATGTGCAAAATGGGACAATCAGACATATGTTTCCTTCTTCACTAGATGGGATTCTACTCTATTGCAAACCTATGATCAAAACTCTGCATCCCTCTCATCTTACACTGGTCGCCAAGGAAGAATCTGGCTGCCTGATGCTTTACGAAACTATTACATGTACTTCACTGAAAGTGACACATGTCCTCTAGTGAGTTTCTGACATATATTCAAGGTTTTCAAGTTGATACCTACCTCCTCACTATCTTTAGGGAAATATTTTAAAGTTGGGAAACTCTGGATCTTCACAGTTTCTACTTCATTAGCAGTAGAGTCCATCTTAGCAATAACAACATCTTCACGATCCTTGAATTTCTCTCCAAGTTCATCCCAGATTGGAGCCAGCTTTTTACAATGACCACACCACGGGGCATCTGCAGAGAAAGAAAGAAAATATAGTAAAAATTGGCCGGTACTTTTGTTTTGATATAATTTCTCCAAACTGGTCTCTATACATTTCCAAAAAGAAAAAGTTGAGAAAATTGGTATTTTCCCTTGGGTGATCATTTTATTAATTCTCAAAACCTCTTCTATTGATAATTTGAGTATTGATTTTGTTAGGAGAAAATTGATGTTGGTCAGTCACTCTTGGGACTTAAAAGGTTAAAGCGGAAGAGCACTTAGCTAATCTACAAAGTAGTAAATATTGTGAACAAAATTCACATTAAACATGACAGGATTAAAATGCTTACATAAAATGTAACCGGCAGGAGGCAACCAGTTAGCTTTTAAATGACAGCCATGCCTGCTCAAGGATACTAAATCATTACAAAATAGAACAATAGTATTATGAACTTACAGAATTCAACAAAAACACCCTTAGTTTTGTCTTTAACTACTTCATCAAAGTTCTTTCCTACAAGGACCTTCACAGGTTTAGCATCCCAGTCTTCAGGAACATCCTGGCTTAAGAGATGAGCCTGAAAAATAAGAAGGAAATAAAAGGATTTCACCATTTAAGCTCCAATATCCACATACAAATTCTCCAGACTTATGTCCATACATTTTCTTCATGAATTAATGAAGAGAAATTGATCAAAGATCAAAGTACTCTCCCCATGATGATCATTTTACTAATTCTCATAACTTTTTCTCTTGATGATGTATCGGTAATGTCGGGAGAAAATTGATATTGGTCACTCATGGGACTTAAATGGTTAATTAGAATGTGTACAAGCAGAACACAATCAAATCTCATTTAGTAACAAACTTTTAACCTAAGCAATCAGGTTTTGGAAAGAAGAATAATACACAATACTCCACTAACTCTGTGAACATTTGAAATACAGGTACATTGGCAGGGGCGGATCCAGGATTTTTTTTAGGATGGGATGCACTCGTCTCTTGCTCTACTTCAACACTAATAAACCACATAGTTTTTTTTGGCAGAATACCAGTTGTATTAGAAAACCGCAGGTCATCTGACGGGGGGGGGGGGGGGGTGCAAACCCCTTGCACCTTTCACCTAGATCCGCCCCTGATTGGTTCATAACCAGAATGAGTTTTACCAAACTCAGTGATCTGTGAGATTTTTAATGTCACCTTTTTTGTGGCAACAAGCGATTCCATTTCATACTTAGGGTTTTCGTTAAGAATTATAGTAGCAGGAGAAAGGTGTAATGTTACAGGAGAATATCGTGAAAGAGGCTCTATGTATGAATAAAAAATAGTCATAGGCTATCGCAGGTAAGCTGGAGAATTCTACATCTCTGATGCCTAAACAACAACCTGACAGAGGTGTATGCTATTGAAGCAGGAGATAAAAATATATTGTACACTGTACAAAATGCTACATAGTTTTTCAGTTGTGAAATATACTAGTATGTGGGGGCTTATATCCTGCTAATACCATATTGGAAGCCAACAAGACCAAAGAAAGAAGTTTTACAGGATGAAAAGATGAAGACAATTCCCCAACTCATCTCAACCAACTTGGTTTGCCTTTGTATGTGTAAACTACAGAAAAAACCACTGACAACATGAACAAATGACCATCTCTGTCTTCTCGCCAACATCAAAAATGCAGTTATTAAAAAGTCGCTGCATAGTCTGCTTGTATTTGCTGACAAAAAAAAAATTGATCTGGTCGGTACCTGGAGTCAACCCAGACATAAACAATAAAAACCTTGAAACTTAAATTTATGTCAAAATTACCTTCATTTTTCCATCCAAGACATCTTGAACAAAGGCCTTGACATTATCAGTTGTAAGCTCTGTGGTTTCTGGTTTAAATTTCGTCATCTCATCATTTGCCAAGTCGATCAGTCGAACAGTAGGGATCTCTTTAGCATCAATTCCAAAGAATTCAGAGATACGAGCGTTGTCCTCCACATCATTGTCAACAAAGACAAAGAGAACCTTTCCTTTAAAATCCTTAGCAGCAGCTGAAAAGCTGTCATAAATACTTTGGAAATTATCAGCTTTTTTGCCCACAAAGAGAAGAACGTGCTTCTTTACATCTCCACCAAAAATTTTAGGTGCATTCTGAAAGAGACAATTACAAGAAATACTGTTAACTCCCGCTTGTAAGCCCTGGGCTTATAAAAATTGTAAGGGGTTTTAGGAAGGCTTCTAGATGGAGGGGCTTATGTCCATGGGGGCTTATATACCCGGAACAGAAAAAGGGCTTTGAAACAAGCTATAGCAGTGCTGACTAAACTACATTACATTTACTGGCTTTTAATACACACAGCTTCAAAACATCATAATGCAAATCAAATTAATTTCAACACAAAATAGAGGGGGCCCAGTGTTGTCAAAAGTAGCCGGCTACCAGCAAAAATCACTGCCTACTAGGTTAGTATCGGCCAGATACTCAGCTTGGCATTTCTTTATGGATGGCGTTTTTAAAATAAAATATCCCTGGACTGGCTGCCTACTTTTAAAACTCAGCTGTTTATTTCAAAACTTTCTGACATCCCTAGGGGCCTTATATCTGGCGGGGGAGGGCTTATCATCATTTTTTTTTTGTTTACAGCTAGGTGGGCCTCTATCTGGGGGAGCTAACAAGTAGGGGGGGGGGCTTATAAGCAGCAGTTTACCATGTGGTCGGTGGAGTTTGGGAAGCTGTCCTTCACGATTACCCTATTGATTAATGACTTTTGCACCTTTCAGTTACCATCACTCAGTGATGTACAGTACACAAAGTTTTGACACTGATAATTTTGATGTTACATATCCATGCAGTATGCCATTAAAAGACCTCTGTAAATGACCTAACTACCCGCAATCTCCCATGTGAAGTCTGATCACCAGTGCAGTTCTCTGGAAAACCCTTGGGTTTGGGCAGGATTAAGAACATTTCCTTTGAAGCCCAATGTGATGAAAAAAGTCATGTGATTTTGTAACTCTTACCTCATCATTGAATTCTGTAACAAGAGGAAGTTGGTTGGCCTTGATAAATTTGATGATGTCATCAGCCTTGGCTTCACCATCATAGTCAGCACGTCCTTCATCAAACTGTCACCAGAAAAATTGAGAAAGACAAATGAATTTCACACGATAAAACTTGGGAATTTAGCCGCTCATTTGAAATTTGGAATAATATTGGTTTGTTTATGCAGTGATACTGTCACTCTTTCAACAAGTTTGTCATTTTGTAGGTACTGTTCATAAAAGAACAAAAATGTTAATAATGACAATAGTACTAATGATAAAACAAAAGGAGAACCGGAAAGCACTAAGCACACAAAACAACACTGCTATAACAGGTTTTTTTTTAAAGTTCCCTTGAAAAGCATACATGTATATGTAGTCAGAGGTTTGAAAATGTAACTTCCTAGCAGGCCTCTTCTCTCAAGCAATAGCCAATATATAAACTAAGAGAGCAACCATTGCTTTTTTCTCTTCTCCTCCTTTCTTCCTCCTTGCTCTTTCTATTTTGCCTTTTCTTTCACGTTATTAACATGATTTTCGAGCTTATCGGGCCCAAAACCCACCTTTTGACCCTTTTTGAATCAAATGGCTGCTAATTTTCCTAAGTTCATTTTCAAAAAAAAATCCGTGTCATGTAGATAAACACCCATAAATATTAAAAATGTCTAGAGAAAAACAAAGTAAAGGCAAACAACCTTTATTGTTAGTGGATCACAAACAAGAACAAGTTTCTTTACCTTTTTAAAGACTACAACATTATCGCTTTCTACTTTGTTCTCCTTGGCAACGGCCTCATCATGGACGATTCCAAACTCCAAATCATCAACGCCTTGAGCAGCCTCGATGAAAGCTTTGGCAGCGTCAGATTCTTTATCTTTGTAAAACCCAACAACAACAACATTTTTCTTGTCAACGAATTCTTTGACTTCATCAGCAGTCTTGAGTTCCTTGGCAGGTGGGCCAGTTTTCTTACTCAACCATGTAATGATTTCTTCAGATGTGCGGCCACCTGCAGAGTTTACATAAAAGTTGAAGTAATCAAGGTGTGTTCAGACATAACTGGATAAAGAGCATTTTCACTCACATGGCCAGCATCTATAAAAAGTTATTGAGTGTACAAAAGAAGCGTTTACCCAAGAAAAGAGTTCACCTCCGACAGAATTGGTTTGGAACATGGCCGCCTTTTCACTGTTTTGGAACACAAAATAATATGGCTGCTGTGATTTCATGTGAAAATTCCCCATACAGTTTATGATGATACCTAGAGGCCATTTATGCCCTAATAGGAGCACACACCATGTGAAAACATGTATGACAACTGAATTTATGGGAACTTCAGATAGAGTTCACTGTCTTTCCAGCACTATCTACCCTCAGGGACACTAGTTTTCTTCTCTGCTCTAGCTCAGAGGTTATTCTCCGAGAGTTGTGGTTTTCTGCTCTTCTAAAAATTTAACATTTCTAAATTCCAGTTTGATCTAGAAGTGTCTCCAATAATATAACTGGGAACAACTAAGAGGACAAAAGGTATGGCAGTTCTTGATACTGTTAATTAGTGTAAGCTTCTCTAAATAACATACTGTTTTTTCCCTGATCATAATTTTTCCTCCATTTCTCACTAGTACCCTCAACCTCCGTGAAATTTACACTAATAGGTGCATAGTCTTTATAACATCACTGAGTTGGATAACTGTGATTGGATCTTGTCCACTATAATTTGCATTTACAATGTCCTCTTCATTTCTCCACAGTACCCTTCAATTCCTACGGAATTTACACTGATAGGTGTACACTCTTTATAACATTACTGAGTTGGGTAACTGTGATTGGATCTTGTCCACTATAATTTGCATTTACAACATGTTAAGAAGGACAAA